ACACCACCCCTAGCCCAGTGGCTGGCCTAGTCCAAGGCCCCAGGGCTGAGGGAAAAGATCAGGGAGGCCTGGCTGGCACAGCTGCCCGGCTTGCACACACTCAGAGAGACACACATCTCAGCGCAGGACTGCACTACGGGCTCATTCCCACAGACGGGTCCTGCCATTGCCCAGCTGTGTGGCCACGGGCAAGCCACCAACCTCTAGAAGACTCAGTTTCCGCATCTGCAAAATGGGAGGGTCGGGCGGGGACCACCGCCCTAGATCTTAAATCACGGCGGCCAGTTGTGTTTTGGAGTTGCCCATTTTGGGGGTGCAGATATTATAATGTTAGGTCTGATCAAATAACTGAATCGATCCCCCCTCCCCTGGAAACTTCCCTTTAGGCCACTTCATCACGAACATTCCACTTGCAAAGACCATTATCTCTCCCCTCCGGATTTCACCAGAACCCAGACCTGCACAGAGATTTCTCTGCCAAGAAAAAGCCCACGTAGAGCCCTTTAAAAGCCTCTAACTCCCCGTCTTTGGGTGCTGGCACTATTTGGGGGCTCAGCCCATCTGGTATCCAGATGACCTAATCCTATCTAATAAAAGACAAAAAGGGTAATTAACTGTACCTCTGCTACGCTTCCCATTGGCTAATCAGCGAGATATGCAAATTAACTGCCAAAAAGATGGCAGCCGGCAGTCATGCAGCTGAAACGAGCAGGAGGCTTGCTTGCTCCAGTGATGGAGGAAGCCAAGGTTCCCCGCCTGCCGCGGCCCGGCTCTAAGCTCCAAAAGCAACAGCTCTGAAAGCAACAAAGTTTCAATTATAGAAGCTAAACAAACCCCAGATACCTGCTTTCAGCCAGCCATGGCCTCAGAGCTGGAGCGAGCAGGATGGCAACAAAGTTTCAATTATAGAAGGTAAATAAATCCCAGAATAAAAAAAAAAAAAGAAAAAAAGGAGAGGCTGGGAGCTTCAGTTGCTGGCCAGCCTGAAAACAGCCCTCAGCCCCTCACCCAGACTGGCCAGGCATCCCAGTGGGGACCCCCACCTGAAGGGGGTGTGGCCAGCCTGAAAACAGCCATCAGCCCCTCATCCAGGCTGGCCAGGCACCCCAGTGGGGACCCCCACCCTGAAGGGGGTG